CATTGAATCTTTCTGAATATTTTTAGCTCAACCACACCACTTCCCAGACATCTACAGACAAACAGCCTAGATATATTACAGCACAAGAAAAGAGTTTCAAAGATGATCACAATTAGCAAGAGAGTCAAGACATTCTTAAAGAAGCAGAAGCTTCCAGTTCTTGGACAAATAAGGTCCAGAGTGCCAAAGACACTGATGTAATGCTGGCAAACGGTGTAAAATAATATTATAAGCATGATTTTCAACATCAAATAAAACAAATGATGAAACATGTCAGTTAGTGGCAGAGCCACATCCAACCTCAGGGCTCCCAAAGACTCCCAGTCTGGATCAGAAGCTCTCATTCTACCATTATTATCTGATGTGTCTGGATGCTTCAACTAGGTTTTTCTCAAAGCTATATTCTTCAACACAGACAAAAAAAGCATCATCTCAGAAGCAATATTTAAATCAGACTCCCTCTTTTTTTTTTTTTAAGATTTGATAGTCTTTAAGATATTATCAATAGACAGGAAACAGATTAAGAACATTTAACAGAATTGTAGCCAAGTGTTTGAGGAAAGTTAGCCACTCCCTGCACCTTGGGGTCATTGTTCCCAGAAGAGGAATTAGGGCTGCTCAAACCAATTTTATTGACTATTATAAAGAGGAACCAGATACTTGGGAAACCAAACCCCACAAAAGCAGAAGCTGGTGCTCAGAGGAAAAGCCTAGCTCTGCCCATCCCCCACAGGACAGACTTCAGCCGAACATCCCTCACTTCCTTCCCTACTAACTCAGCAGCTCTAAGAAAGGAAGTGGCAGCAAGTGCTTTCTCATTCACCAAAATTAAAGACAGTCTTAAGAAACAAGATGGCATGGGCAGCGCAGGAACTCTTCAACCCAGGTCAGTTGGTTTCAACTACCTCCAACCCCTCAAGGGTGGTGGTTAATTAAAAAAAAAAAAAAGATGTCTAGAAGAGCAACTATTGCCACCCAGGTAATCTTTCCTAATATTAGCATTCAGTGAAATAAACAAAGATCGATCACTCTGCCCAGCCAGTTAGGTCATAATGATTATACTGCTGATTCTTTACTATATTCGCAGGATTACTTCATGGTCTTCTAAGATGTTATTCTGTGGACCTTTGTCATTTTCATAGCCCAAACATAAATTTATTCTGAGGTGATAAGTGGTTTATGCCCAGAACCTCAACACTACTACTGTGTGAAGAACATATTATATTGCTTAGTGAGATCCAGTACAATGCAGAAAGGCATCCATTAGAATCTTGTGCATAAGGTTCTGGTTATCTGGGTTCTCACAGATAAATATTTTCCTGTAAAGTTTGCCCACCACCCACTACCCATGTTCACTACCAGGTTCTGGTTTCTGGGACTCCAATGGTCATTTCACTTTCTTTGTACTATCCATCTATTTAAAACTATTACAGGGGTAGGGTGTATAGCTCAGTGGTAGAGCACATGCTTGGGATGCATGAGTTCCTGGGTTCAATCCCCAGTGTCTCCGTTAAGGGGAAAAAGAAGCAGGCCAGGGAATAGCTCAGTGGTAGAACACATGCTTAGCATGAGGTCCTGCGTGAACCCATTAAAAAAAGAAAAGCATCTTTAAAAATAAAATAAAATGAAACTATTACAACATCAGTAAAACACCTGGCCAAGTACTGTTTGACACTAGATGTCTTGCGTGGTGAAACTAGCAAGAAAAAAATTTAACGAGAACTACAGTGTTCACACAGAGATAATCCACTTTGTAGCATAATTGGCAAGGTTAAAAATAAAAGGTCTTACATTAATCTTAAAAGATTTAACCACAGCCTCGTAAGTAATGTTTAGTAATATTTGCAACAACAACCACATAAATCATCCCTGTAATGATAAATGCTAACACACACTGAGCACTCGCTATGTGCCAGGCATTTTACACTTATAAGCATGTTATACTTATTTATGTATTTCTTAATAATTAATTCATATGAAGTGAATTTTCTCATTTTATACTAAGTTACAAAGCAGGGATATAAAGCCCTCTGTCTGTTACATACAATGACCTTTTCTCCAAAACAGGTTATTTTCCCTAAAAAGTGCATTTTTTTGGTTATCTAAGTGAGTAATTAGATTTTTTTGAAAGTTTGTAGTTCACAGTGATAAGTGCAGCAGCATTTTATCTGATCCCCAGTGTCTAATTATGTGGGGGCAGTGAAGTCGGCTTGTGAGGAATAACTTTGTAGTTTCCCTTGGGAAGAAATGCACCCCTAAATGGGGTAATTCAGCTCAGCTACATTATCTTTCTAATGACAGAGTAAATGACTTCGGCTTCTCTGTTCTAAAAAGTTCTTTTCAAGTGTACCACACATGTAAATAGCTGCCTGAATTTATTGTTTGTTCAGCTGAAAAACCAAACATTACTGGCAACTGACCTAACTTAAAACTAATACAAAATTATTTCTTTATTGGTGAAAGATTTGTCTAACTGCAGTATATATCATACACCTCGTACTTAAAAGAATATTGTAGAAAATGCTGCAAATCAGTCATACAAAGTGAGCATAAGAAGGCTTCTGTAGGATCAAAAGTCCTTTTATCCTGTATACCTACATGCTTCAACAAGAGCACTTGCTGTTTGCTGATATTTTCCAGTGTCCTGTGTTGCTATAGACTGAATGTTTGTGTCCCCTCAAAAATTTGTATGTTAAAATCTAATCCCCAGTGTGGTAGTATTTGGAGGTGGGACCTTTGAGAGGTGATTAGGTGTAGAAGACGGAGCCCTTCTAAATGGATTTAATGCCCTTAAAAAAGAGACCCCAAGGAGCTCTTCACCCCTTTCACCATGTGAGGTCACAGCAAAAAGACAGATGTCTGTGAACCAAGCTGTGGGCTCTCACCAGATACCAGATCTTGTCCTTCTCAGCCTCAGAATTATGAGATACATGTTTTTCTCAATATCTGTTGTTATAAGCCACCAGTTTATGGTATTCTGTTATAGCAGCCCCAATGAACTAAGACATATGTGAAAATAAATAAACAAATGACAATTAAAAAAAAAAACAGCTCTCCTGGTTTCAGAGTCCTGTTCCTTGCTCTAGTCGGCCCTACAAGAAGCATGTGACAGTTTCTCCTAACTTCATGCCTGACACCTGTTGGAATGGAGGGCTTGATAACTTTGTGAAATTTTGATTTATCTCAGTTTCTCTATGATAAAAAATAAGTACCTCTTTTAAAAATTTCAGGGCATTGTAAAGCTGATACATGTGCTCTTCTTTCACACACATGCATGCACACACATATACCAATAAATTACCAGGAAGAAACAATATTTCCTATAAATCCCTAAATAAGAGATTTCCTATATGAACATGGAGTGTCCCAGTTGGAAGGATGCTTACAGATAATGTGCTCTAACCCCTTCATTTTGTATATGAAAAATACGGGCCCAAAGATACAAACAGAATTACCACCTACACCCTCTAATGAATGAATGGATCTCAGTGCTAATCATCTTAGGGTGCTAATATCATGACCACCAGACCAGACCAGTTAAATCAGAATCTCTGACGTGGGGCTCAGGAATCAATATATTTTAGAACACTCCCCCAGGTAATTACGGTAATTACAGTGTGCAGTCACATTTGAGAACCACAGCAGGTTAGAGGAGACTTTTTTTTTTGTCATTAAGAAAAATTTCTAAAAGTGACATTACTCAGTATGTAGTTAAGACTTCTGTTATGAACACTTGGCCTTCCATATCTGTAGGTTCTGCATCAGGGGAGTCAACCAACCTTAGATGGAAAATATTTTTTAAAAAATTTCAGAAAGTTCAAAAAAAGCAAAACTTGAATTTGCTGTGCGTAGGCAGCTATTTACATAGTGGTTACATTGTGTTAGGTATTATAAGTAATCTAGAGATGATTTAAAGTGTATGGGAGGATGTGCATAGGTTATATACAAATACTACACCATTTTATATAAGGGACTTGTGTATCCTCAAATTTTGGTATCCATGGGGGTGGTCCTGGCACCAGTCCTCTGCAGATACCAAGGGACAACTGTATTGTTAAGTTACATTTTAAAAGTTTGTGGGGTAGGGAGGGATAAATTGGGAGTCTGGGATTAGCAGATACAAACTTCTATATACAGAATAACAAGTTCCTACTGTATAGCACAGGAAACTGTATTCAATAGCTTATAATAACCTATAATGAAGAAGAATGTATATATATATATAAATAAATCACTATGCTATAGACCAGAAACTAACACAACATTGTAAATCAACTATACTTCAATTGAAAAAAAAGTTTGAAGAGATTTACACTCCCATTTTCCCTTTGTATATTCCTTGAACATAATTAATTTATTTATTCAGCAGATCTTTTTTGGACAGCTGCTATGTATCAGCACTGGGACTGCATCAGTGAAAAATGATACAAACAAAAACCTCTGACTTCGTGGAGCTCATATTCTAACGTAAGTAGACAAGCAATAGACGAAATAAATCAGTAAAATTATATAGTACATTAGAGGGCGATGAGTGAGAAGGTGAAAAATGAAGCAAAAAAAAAGCAAAAGAGGGAAAGGGATTGAGCAGGAGTGGCTACAGAGAGTGGGCAAGGAAGGGGATATTTGACCAAAGATACAAAGGAGGGGAGGGAGCCATCGAAAAGGCTCAAGCTGCCTGGCTTTTTCCTGGAATAGTAAGCAGGCTGCTATGACTGAAGGTGAGTGAACTAGGAGAGAGTGCAGACATGAGGACGAGGAGGGGGCGGACCATATGTGAGGACGTTGACTTTTACCATCAGACTGGAGTCTGAATGTTTTCAGTGAAGACCTTACATGCTAATCTGACTGAAAAATAGCACTCTGGCTACTTGGTGCAGAACAAAAGGAGCAGGGAAATCAGTCAGGAGGTTATGTATTATTCCCTTGCAGCAGGGTGGTAGCAGTGACAATGGTAAAGTGTGATCTGCATCTGGATCTGTTCTGAAGACTGAACCAACAGGTTCAGTCTGGTTGAAAGTAGAGTATGAGAAAATGAGTTAAATATGGCTTTCACATTTACCGTCTGAGCGACTGGAAAGATGAAGTTGTCATCTGCTGAAATGGGGAAGACTACAGGTGGAACAGTTTTTGGAGGTTGTGGAACCATCAGGAGGGCCCTTTTAGTGATGAAAAACAGTGAGGCAGGAAGAACACAATCAGGAGAGTGGCGTTCTGGATGCCAGGTGAACCAAATGTTTCTGGAAAGGGGCTGATTTTTGTGTCAAGAGCTGCTGATAGATCACGTGAGATAAAACTGAGTTGATCATTGGGTTTAGCAAAAGTGAAGGTCATTGATGACATTGACAAGAGCAGCTGCAGTAGAGTTGGTGGGAGTAAAAGCCCAATGGATTGAGTTCAAGAGAGAACAGAAGTTGAGGAACTGGAAATGTTAAGGCAGGTGTGTACAGCTCCTTCTAGAGGGATTGTTGCAAAGCAAAAGTGAGAAATGGCATAATTTGAGGGGAAAAGGGACAAAAGAGATTTTTTTTTCAGATGTGAAAAATAATATCATGACTGTAGCCTGAAGGAACTGTTTTTGTAGAGAGAGGGTGAAATAGGGGATTTCTGGAGACAGATCCTTGTCCTTAAATAGTTCAGGGGGGAGCATAGATGGTTCTTCTGAAACAGGAGGAGAGATGCTATTGGGTGAGATATGGTGGTGTGAGTGTGTGTACATTCTCTTCTGATCGCTACTATAAGCAAGATCATTAGTTGAGTGAGGATGAGGAAGAGGTGCTGGAAGTTTGAAGTGTGAGTGTGAGAAGATGGTAATAAATAGTCATCAGGGAACATGGGAGAGTGAGTGAACTAGGGAAGTGTATCACAATTTTAGAACAGGGCTAAAGTCTCACTTGAAAGCAATTAACAGTAAATTTGAAGTTAGGCCAGAACACATGGTTTTGTATTTCCCTTTGGACACATTCATCTGTGAAGGTTTAGGCACAGACTAGGCTCAGAATTGGATTTAACCAGTATCAGAGTTTTGACAAGTGATAGTAACTCTGGTTTTTGGAACGTATGTTGTACAAATCTTTCCCATTTGGTGGCTTGTGTTTTCCTTTTTTCCTTTTTTCTGTATTTTTTCTTAAGTACAGAAATTTTATACTTTTATGTTGCCAAGTCTATTATCTTTTCCTATGGTTTCTTGCATTGCTTTTTGGCTCGAGGGAATCATTCCTCATAAAGAGATGGTATAAACTTTCTTCTATACCTTCTCCAATTTTTTTTATGTCTGAATTTTTAACTCTTTAATCTATTTGTATATATTCTGTGGCACAAAGTACTAATAAAATATTCATCAAAAACCCCTTTTTCCCCACATTAATTATTAAAGAAACAATTCCTCACCCTTCACTTTGTAACTTTAAAATATATTATCTTATTATCGTCTTATATTTTATAAGCTCTGTTGTCACTTCTGAGTCACTGATTTATCTGGCTATTTTCAGTACTTAACATGCTCTAACTATTGTTTGTTTATAATTCAGCATCTGAAAAGGCAAATACCAACCTCCCGCCCCCTTTTTGTAAACATTTTTTAGCCATTCTTGCTTACTTATTTTTCTAGAAAATTTTATCACCATGCAAAAACAGGCCCCTTTCAGGGTTTGTTTGGAATTGAAAGCAGCTGAAACATTAGTGTGGGAAATACCGATTTCTTTACAATTTTAAGTTTCCCATTCAGAAACCATGCATGATTCTCTATTCTGGTCTTTTAACTTTGCCATATTAATTACTCATTCATGTTTTTATACATTTTAAATCTCCCTGAGATATAGTTTAGTTTTGATTTTGTTTTGCTAGGTGATTCCTCAAGTAAATTCCCCAGAAAGAAAACCAGAAAGTAACTTTCTGATACTTCATATATCCAAAAATGTCTACTTTTTTCTCATATACATCTATCTCGGGCAGGTATAGAATTTTGAGATTGTAATCCTTTTCACTTAATACTTGTCACTAAGTCCAATGGATAGAATGTTCCTTGAAACACTACCGTTAGAAGCAAAAAAAAAGGGGGGGAAATAACCTAAATGTCAAAAAGGTAGAGATTTATTAAATAAGTTAATGTATCATTAGTAGGGAAATCTATGAACTGTTTTTTAAGTTATGTAAATATATATGCATGATAAGGAAACAAGTCCATGTGGAAAAAGGGAGTCTGCTTAGCAGTTTGTATACTATGATAGGGTTTTTGAAAAATAAACCCTACATGGATATATATTGGCATATCTATTTTTATAGCTGTACATCTGGAAGAACATATGCCAAACATTAACAAATCACTATGGCTATTATGATTAGCATGTGTGGAAGGAAGAACTTTCACTTTTTATTTTACATACTCTATTTGAAGTTTTAAAATGGTGTTTTATTACTAATTAACAGGCATACAGCTTTATGCAGCTAACATACGCATTTACTTGACCTTTTCCACCCCTCTGTTGCACTCAACACTGTTGACCAGACTCCTTCCTGTACAAACACTGGGCTGGGTGCCTCTTCTGAGTCTTCCCATGACACACTGTACTAACCCCAATTATAGAGCTTTGCACTTTAATTTATAATTGCCTATTTATTTGCCTATTTTTTCCATGTGGACTGAAAAGTCAGATACATTCCCTATTTCATCATTTTATGTTATACCTTGCAGAGTGCCAGTTCAGTGACTGTTCAAGGTGTCCGTGATTTGAAAGGAGATGTATATTATCTGGTTCTCTGGAAAGTGAACGAGGCAGTGCTCAGAAGGTAAAAAAGGGAAGTGATAGATGCAGGTTGGAAAGTACTGAAGATGAACCATGTCCATTGGCTGAGCAGCCAAACCACTAGGGGAATGGTTCCCTTAACCACAGTCTGTAAGTAGATGAAAGGGAACAAAGCGGAGACTTGTGGGAGAAACCATGCACAGTAGTTAGAAGGTGACTGGCTTCTCCTTCAGGGAAATTCCACACTTAGGTAGGGGACTATTAGGTAAATATCTGTCCCTGTGGGTCGAATGCATGGGAGGAGCATGGGACTTCTGAAGGGGAAGTTAGAAGGCAGATATCACTGTGGCCATCAAATCAAGCAAGAGAAAGCAGGACTTGCTTACGAGAGTAAAGACTAAGCTGTTCCCAAAAAGAAACACCAAAAAAGTATACATTTATGTGCAGAAGCTTAAATAACATAAAAGCTCTTTTTTTTTCTCATGTTACAATATGGTGAACAGTCCAGCTTGGCAGGGAGTTTTGACTCCACAAAGTCATCCAAGGACCCAGATTCCTTTCATTTATTGCTTCGCTGTTCCCTAAGGTAATGTCTTTATCCTCGTGGTCAGAGTTAGGTTGCAGGCACATTCAGTGGTCCAACCCGTGGAAAGGGAAAAGAGAGAAACTCCAAGGCAAGTCTCTTATCTTTTAAGGTAGAGAGGACCCAGAAATGACATATAACTTCCATTTACACATTATTTCTGCTTACATCCTGTCAGCCAGAACTTAGCCACACAATCCCATATCACTGTGAAGAGAGAATGGAGATGTAGTAGTACTCTAGCTGAGTAACCATTACCGACTATAATCTCTATTTCTATGGAGAAAGGGAGGTATGGATTTTGGAGAAAAGCTAGTTTTTGCCATATAAAAAATTAAATATTGTTTTCATAACCTGATTAATAAAAGTTACTTTGAAGCTCTAGTGGCCATCAAATGCTGGTCTAATACGTACGACTACTGCACGTGCAGTGCAAAAACCAAGGACAATGGAAGGAACTTAAAGCTAAATGTGTTCAACATAAGGGATTGTCCTTTATTATGAGATAATGTTTAAATATCTTTAATGATACAGTGATGGTGGTGGTCAGCATTTTAAATGTCCTTTTGGGAAAAAAAAAGTAAAATAGAACATTGGCAACGCTGCATCAGTATACCCAGTCCCCAACTTTTATGTGTGTGTTTGTTGAGATTCTACTGATTCTTGAAATCCTGATCTGAGACCAATGCAGCATATGACAACCAAGCACAGAGGGTCAGCAGAAAGGCCAGTAGATGGGACAGTTGTTATCCCTATTCCTTCTTCAACACTGAAAGGGGCATTTCATCCCCAGCATAGGTTTCCTAAACTCTCCCCACTGGACCCACTGTCATCTGTCTCCCTCTCCCACTAGTTGGGTCCCCCTTCTCTGGACTCCCGTGTTGTTCTTTGCGTGGTTCCACCGCACTGTTTATCACGTGGCGTTGTATCAAAAGTTATTGTCACTCTCCAACTTGAACATGAGCACCTCAAGAATAAGGACCATGTGCTCCCTGAAGGTACTAGGGCTTTTTCGAGGTGAAAACATCTGTGTTAGTCTGCTAGGGCTACCCTAACAATATACTACAGACTGGGTGTCTTAAACAACAGAAGTTTATTTTCTCACTGCTGTAGAGTCTATAAACCCAAGGTAAAGATGTGAG